GGGTATTTCGCAAAGTCAATTATCCTCCAACAAAGGAGAGCCACTGGTGCAACAAATACATCACTGACAGCTCGCTGTTGGCAGAGGGTAACTCCTTAAAAAGCTGTTTCAAACGACTCTGCACTCCCTGACTTCTAATATAATAAAACACTTCGACGGGACACCAACTGAAGTCTTGCTTTTCATGTTCATCCTCCAATGGACCAGAAATCTCTACAGGAGAACACTTACCATGCACGTGACATGCTTATGCTTTACATTTTACCAATACAATGGTATATAACGACAGATACCTGGATGGGTTTAGCAGGCTAACCTCGCCCAAGCAAAATGACAAGTCAATTCTAACCTTACTCTTGGTCTATTTTCGCTTCCAAAAGTATTGGCCAGTTATGATCTTCCAGCTCCCGATTGGATGTTCGTCTATGCGCTAACAGTCAACATTCCTGTACTGACTTCTTATTGGCAGGCTCTATCTTCCGACCATGTAGCACGTCTGGCTTGTTTTCAGGTTTTCAGAGTAACAGCCGAAAACAGCATGTCTATTATGCAATTAGCTGTATGCATGGCATTAATTAGCGGAATCGCAAAAGCACTGCTAATAGTTCTTAGGTCGCTGGGTCATCATTTCCAACATCTTTCCGAAGGGACATATGCAGTTAGAAGGGAACATGCAGACATAGAATACATCAGCTTTTATGTGGAAGGTGTTTATTTTGAACTAGTTAATATGTTGTTTCCTTATGTTTTATTTCCGTAGTCATATGTGGCCGTGATAAAGAAATAAAAGCTATTTCAAAACACCAACAACAGTATATTTCAGTGTATGTTAGTGTTGCTTGCTAAATACAGAGTCAGCTTTTTTCATAAACTAAGTATGTTTTACATAGCCGACATCGGCATTGTAATGTTTCGCTTTCTAATGGCATTGGCGGTGTTGAGTAGCCGTATGCGCCGTCGGTACTGAAAGCGCAGACCCAACCAGACATCGTCAACAGGGATGGGGCGAGTAAAATGCATAGCGATGGCCAGCTTTTCCACCTGTTCATAACCCAGGAAGTAGAACGCACATACGGTGCCAGGGCATGTCACGCTTGGAGAATGCCCACGGGTTATAATAGTCAGTTTGGCTGAAGCGGAGTACTGGTACTGCGGTGTGTTCTACACCAACGACTTTGCGCTCTCGCCAGCCTGCTTCCAGGCGTGCGAGAAAACGACGCAGATTTGCCGGGTGGATGCCGTAGTCGTCGTGTATTAAGAGGAAGCCAGGTCGTTCGGTTCGACAAAACCTGGCAGACCATTGGAAGGAAGTCATCAATTTGGTGTTAAGGTTGTAGTAGGTGTCTTCA